TTTTTTTTTTCCTTTTTCTTTTTTACCTTTTCAAAAACACCTTTCCTTTATGGACATGGACTTGTCGGTCGCTCACCGACACCGGCGCCGGAGAGCCGATTGAACCATGCAGGCTGCATGTATACATACGTAGAATACCTACTTACCGGTTGATCGGTAGGTTCCATCGTATGTACATCTTGAAAAGTACATCCGTAAAACCAGGTGCCGTCAATCAGGATGCTATATTCGTAAATTATTGGAACTAATGGATCGAACCATGCATCGGGATTAATATCTCTCTCTCTCTCTCTCTCTCTCTCTTTCTTGTTCTTTTGCCCATTCCCCCCACCCCACAATATCCACTTGAATACCTGTGCCATGAGAGGTAATGAGACATCAATCGGAGGAGTCCGAGTTAGTAAGAGTAGGTATGTAGATGTGGAGAGACGCGTTTCCCGTACACAGCGTAGTTTCCAGAATTGAGCTTCGGGCCCCACAAACCGGGGGAGGGTGAGACCAACACAAAGAAGTCCCATCTGAATCTCAGATTAGCGTCATCCTGCCAATTATTACTCTGATTGTGAGTTCTTTTTGGGTTCTTTTCTTTTTCTTTCAGTCTTTCTTGATTCTTTCATGATTTCTTCTTATCTCGTTTGAAGATCGTCTTGTGGCGGATTCGATCATCCAGCCGTGCAGGAAGCTAGTTGGTCCAAATGCGATATGCATGACGCTGAAAAAGGAGGTCAGGCAGGACCATTGGCCGAAGGTCCCTGCTTAGATCCATCCGGGACTGGGGACCAAAAAAACTTGAACTTGGCTAATCGAGAGTGCCTAATGGAGGAGGGGGGGGGGGTTAATGTCGTGCAGGATGTTATGTGTGCGCGGGATGCGGCGTGAATCCCAGAGTAACCTCGTACAGGGGTCTCAGAGATGGTGGTGGAAAGGTTGCATTTCAGGCTACCGATAGCCAATAAGCATGGGCTCTAGCGAGAAGAGAAAAAAAAAAGCAAATACATAGTGATGCATATGAAATGAAATCATAGGATAGGAAAAGATGTAAGCGCATGTAGATTTTACTAATCTGAGAAAATGTTGGTTAGAGGGAGAAACATAGCCAGTCCGCATGCGCGGTGATGATTGCATTTGCAATGATTCGTTTTGGAATTCTATTTCCTTTTTTTTTTTTTTATTATTTTTCCTTTCTTTCATTTAGTTAGTCTCCTTTTGCTTATGCTATTCCCACTTACTTTGTATATTCAATCGTCCATGCAATTTCCCTACCTAGTAGGTACTGGTAGATTAAGTTACCTCTTGTACGGAGGAGTTGGAGTAGTGCTCATGTTGATCCCAACACAAAGGAACCGAGGAAAGGCTAATAGTACACCTAGTATTGAAGTCCATGGGACTCTAGTGGCACGTGCACCACTCCTAACCTGAAGGAGGATAGTACATGATACCTCCAGTGTACTCCGTAAGTACATGCTAGTACTTCCTTCTATTCCCCCAGTTCCCTTCCATCCGAAACTAAAATGTTTTGGCCTTCTTTCACCCAGCTAACTAAATCTTGAACAATGAAAGGAATCAATGACTAACTAATTAACTTGCTTTTTCCCTTCTTAAACCCCTCCATTATATAATATTTTCCATTTACGGGCATCGCTCTGTGGATGATCTAAATCGCCATCCTATTTTTGTTCGATGGAGACTAGACTGACCCATGTTCCTGGATTCAACCGATTATCCTCGTCTTATGTAACCCATCTTAGGTGATTTCTTTCTATTTGTTGTTGGTTTGATGAGATAACAGGGATTCTAAATCCGTTCTTGATTGTAAAAGAAGGTTAATCGTTTAATTCCCTCAGCTCTTATTGACCCTCAAGGTTCACTTCTTTTAGATCATAACTTTTGATTATTATTATTATTATTATGGTGATGATGATGATCATGTTTGCCCTCCCCGTCTCTTTCTCTCTGTCTCTTTCTCGAATGCGCGCTTGTTGTCGCTCAATGAGTGGGTGATCGACTTCATCTCTATGGTGAGTTAAGGTTTTGATCGTTCTAGGCCAAACTTTGACCCTCCATTAACCTTTGATTAGACTCCTACTCATGTGGGAAAAGTTTGCAATACGTTGCCAGCCTTGGCTTCGGGTCTACTACTACCGACGATACTAACTTAACCATCCCATCCAATCCAGTTGGACTAGTGGATACAACGTTCTCTACCATGCTCTTGCCATATCCAGCTTAGTGGCCGGTACTAGGCCGGTACCTTTTCTTGAAATGTTCCTGTACAACCGCACTTTTGTTAATTTACCTTGACCAGCCCTGACGGAGAGTGAGATACTACTAACTAGTACTAGCCTAACTGACCTGCAGCTGGCCGATGGATACTTTGGATCCACTGTGAGAAGGCAGCAAATATTGTCCCTCCCACGAGTCAGCGTCGAGCTAAAGGAATCGCGCGAGTCCAGACCATTCGGGCTTTACTTCCGGGTTTCCCTGTAGTCTCCACGCTTGAGAAGAAACCCATTGATAGACGGTGATTCTGGAGCTTGAACTTTCTACCGTGATTGCGATCTTCACGCTTTCTTTGGTCCTCAACCTTGAATTCGACTGGTCTTGGCAATTGATCCCTACAACATTGACGGTGGCCCGGATACCAAACTTGTCAGCTCTTCGCGCTCTCTCGAGCTAGATATGTCCCGTCTGTACCCTTGACTGGTCTGTTGTCTCCACCGTCCGCCCCAGTGGGATATCGTGGTAACCGATGAGCGGGTATAGTAGAACTCTTGGCCATATCGACGGAGGCTTTGGCGATGGCGACGATCGACGTGGACTTTAGGCGTTGATTTGGAATTGTAGTCTACTCCCATTGCAACCCTACGCCCGAGACCCATGAACGTTTAGTGGAGACTTATGCTCCGGATCATGCGTCTGTCACTGGCCATTAGAAGCCATTCTGCCTCTCGCTCCGGATCTTTTGCACCGCATCTAATGCACCCACCGCTCACATGGATAAGGGGGTGCTTGTCCATGTGCTTTTTCCTAACGCAGCTGCCGCGTGACGGCCTGATATTTCAGAATGTCCCGTGGCTGGATTCTGTATCGACTATATCCATACAGCTGGGTCTGTTTGTTAGCAATGAAACTTTCTTGTTCCCAGTATTTGATTCTTGCCGAATGCGGTCCTCTCTGTGTGACTCAAACGGGTGCCAATTCCCGCCAGATATTACCTGCTGACCCTCAACAATTTCATTCAAAAAGCTTCATTTGAGGTATCTGGAGGCTCCTCATAGGAACCGTGGCCGTATAGTGTAGGTTCCAACCTGGGTTCTCATCCGCACGCTGGAAAAGTCTCCCATACCGTCGGAGGTGAGTTGTCCTGCTCTCTGCCTTTATTGGGCCCACGGCTGACTCGCCTTTCGTAGGGTTCGAAGTCACCTCTACCACGCTAAGTCACGCTCGTTGCGCTAAGGAAGAACCCTAACGAAATGCTCCACGGACGAAAATGGCCCCTGAAACCAAGGAAGATGAAGAGTCAACGCAGGAAGACTATTGTCGAGCTAGTCGAACTTGACCTAGCCAGTACAACAAAGAGACAACCGTTAGACCTTATTTACGTTAGCGGCATTAGTTTGAACCTCTGACGATGACAACCTATTCGACGGCCCGCCATGCTGACTTCCGCCCAAAATCAGAGCTTCCTACTTGTCCATGACAGCTGCCAGTCCAGAGAGCGCTTGAGTGACACAGGCGGACGTGGAAATCTGCTCACGAGCCAACAGGCTGCGGCCTTGATTTGGAATATCGACGATTCGCCCGTTCTAAGAATCCATCCACGAAACTGATGACGACGACGAGCCCGATAAACCATAGGTCTGCCTGCAATGTAACCGGACTTATTGCACCCGGGCTCTTTCACGTTCCTTCCAGTACCACCGAGCATCCCATCCATTGGATGAAAGATACGAAGCTGATCAGATTTCTGGCGGTCCTGACCCTGCGTTACACTCAGCTTATACGGGTGATGCTACGCTATACCGCCATTTCATCGTTCGGCCGACGAAACCAGTCCAAACATCGCCACAGAGAGTAGTATCCTGGAAATCCCCAGCCCATTGTCCATAGATATACCCGCACATGTAAGTCCAGGTCCACACGGCCCTGCGGTGAGGGTTTAGGAATTAGCCCCGATGGCTCTCTCCCGCGTATGTACCGTTGCGTGTGCTGTGCATGTCTAACAGCTGCAGGAGAGTTCCCACCTAGAAAAAATGACAGTATGTACAATGGGCTAGATTTCCAAGGGAAGAAAAAAAAAATACACAAAAAAGAATCAAATTCAAATCACAATAATACAAATCGAAAGCCTCCTGAAATTCTACGTGCCTACGTAGCACCCGAGGGATTCCCATCCTCTCTCAATCTCCAACCTCACTCGAGTCCCAGTGCATCTTTGATAGTCCCCCAAACATGAAACCACCCCCCCTCCCCCAACTGTTTCAACAAAGTACCCCAACTCGTAAGCATCAGAGTCAGACAAATCTCCATTCCCTCCTTGATCCCGGAATCTAAGCCTCCTCATCTCACACAAACCCTTGGGTTTGCCCACTTCTATTATTAAACAAACATACTCTCACACACAGAAGAGTGTGAGAGATACATGTCTCATCCTCGGTCCTGGTTACGCCCGCACACTCCTCCCCTGTCACACAGGTAGGCTTAAGGTTCTTCAAGACATGGGTTCTGGGTGGTCGTGAGAAATTGTTTGTCCGTGGTTCGGGGGGGAGGGTGGCCTTGAGATTAGAGTTTTGTTTCGTTTTCCTTTTTGGGAGTGTGATGGAATTTGGAGGTTAGTTTTTTTATTACTTGTTTTTTTTTTTATTTTTTTATTTTTTATTTTTGGATTCTAGGTTATTGTTGTTGTTGTTGTTGTTGTTGTTGTTGTTGTTGGAGATATACCTTATGCAACTATAGGGGTTTGTGCTTTTTCTCATTTTGACTTGTTTTGTTTGGGTGGGTGTCTAGCGTGCGTTTTTGGTTTATCATTTGCTATCCATATTGAGATTGTGAGGAGCTATGGGGAGAAAGAAGAAGAGGAAGAGGAAGAAGAGGAGGAGAGAAAGAGGAAAGGCAAATGAGAAAACCCCTCTAGAACCGTACTTTTCTTTGTGTAGAGAAAATCGACAGCAAAAGCAAATGTAAATGACACGGTTTGGATGGATGCTTTTCAGTAATCATCATTATCGATCAGTTCATACATTACAAAGAAAAGATTCCTCAGCCATGAAGGAAGGAAGCCCGCCTGACGAAAAGATCCAAAAAGTGTCGTAAACCGGAACGAGAAGAAGAAATGGTATGGAGGATCGGTGGGATTGTTTATGTGGTTCTCTTCGCGAACTCGACGCGGAGGATAAGATGGCGGTAACCGACTAGAAGGGTATTTGTTAGCTTGTTTCTCACTTTTCCTTTTCCTTTTGGTGTATTCTCGTTGATCCTGGAGGTGGGTCTTGGGGGGAGGAGGAGGAAACGTACAGCCATCCATCTTCTCGCAAGCGCGTGCAGCGTCGCTGCGATCTGCGAAACTGATGAAAGCGAAGCCCTTGGCTCGTTGGGTCTCTCTGTCTCTGGCGAGGAAGACTCTGGTGACGCGGCCGAAGCGCTCGAACAGATCGCGGAGTTCTCCTTCTTCCGCCAACTCGGAAACCTGTTGCTCATGGTTAGGATTGACATGACATAGATAAGAGAAACGCAGAAAAGCGTAGCATTAAGGAACTCACGTTTGTAACTCTCAGAGTCGCCAGATCGTCCTTCTCGTACTTGCCACCCATTCTCTCGCCGCCGCCAGCAGCACCTTTCCGGAGATGAGGAGGCACGTAGCTGCCAGATCCAGTGCCAACACCACCGGCGGCTGATTCATCGGCTTCACCAGCAGCACCAGCGCCACCGGCGGACTCGTCGACGGGCGCCATGGTATCCTTGAACGGACAGCGGGCAGTAAAGTGCTCTCCGCTGCAAATACGACACTTGACCTTCTTGTCCTTGAGCTGATCCTTCACACTGCCCTTCTCGCCGCCGTTCTTCTCCGCCTCCGCGGCCTGTGCCTTCCAGTTGATGCTGGGTCTGAAAACGATGTTCTCACCGACGGAGGTAGTATCGAACGAGGGTCCGGGAGCGTGGCCCTTCTCGAGACCGAACTTGGCCCAGGACCTCCGCTCCGCAACCTGGGGGTTGACATGTTCCCTCACGACGGTGGTCTTGATCCGGCGGGTGACCTTCACCTTCTTGCCCTCGTCGTTGAAGCGGTACGACACAACGGTCTTGGTGCCATCTTTGTTCGTTGTGACTTGTTGCGCGGGGAGCGCGGAGGGGTCATCGAACTCCTCGTCGTCGGCCCAGTCGGCGCGGCTGCAGAAGTTGCAAAAATTTCATGTCAGGGGACTTCCGGCGACGCAGGTTTATGGGGTCCGTTCGCACTTACTTTGCTAGTTTGGACATTGTGCTTTATGTGGTGATCTGCAAATGTTGCTGAATTTCTTAGGATTTCAACGAAAGATCCGTTGTGGATTTGTTCGGCGCGGCAAAGACCTGTGGCGCAGTTGAGTGGCTGGTGTCTGGGAGCTGTGCTCACGTGATGCCATCTGGAGGAACCTCTTTCGTTAACCCTACTTTTGTTGCATCAAGTCCAGCAAAAGATCTGAATTGACCCTAATTTTACGGTTTTGTTAAAACCCATCATATACTTATAGCTGCGCAGATTCATATTCCTGTACTATGAAAACAAAAACGAAGCACACCATACTGGCCCATACATATAATGACTATACAATATGGGACCTCCCAGTCTCTAGATAAAGAGAGACAATCCAAGGCAAACACTCATTAGTGAGTCGGTCCATTGTGCCCATAAGCTTGTATAATTAATAGCGAAAATGATAGTGAATATAATACTATGGACAATTTCAAAGTGTGGCGGGTGTACTCCATCCAGCGAGATTAAAGTGTGCTTTATTGAACCGAAGTAGAGGAAAGTACTGGAGTAGAGATACGTGACGGGATACTAAATTTAAGAAGGGTTAGCCAAATGGAAAAAGTTATCTCAGCTGCGTGGTTTTTGTAGTAGAAGGTTACCCTACTTTGGATAACAAACGAAGCTGTATGACAAGGCCTTTGGAGAACTTGGATAGCCCTTTGAGACAGCAAAATGGCTGCTCGTTTGTCATTTACTCTCTATATATCATTTAACAATACCCCCATCTTGAGATAGCTAGAACATGGGTTCTAAAAACGCTTTCAACGTTGAAGTGTATGACGTACGTTGTCGGGACATGATTCCTCCCTCTTATTTTCCGTTGGCACTCAGTTTTACTAAGGACATGTGTCTAGAATGAAGGGAATTGTCTGACCCAAGGTGACTCTACAGATGATGACCATAGCAAGCTCACAGCAAACTGCACACTGACAACCATGAAGCAAATATTAAATACTTGCAAACAAGACACAGAGTTTCTTCGTCGATACATATCAGAATAAGAGCTTGAAACCAAAAAGATGGAAAAAGACTTGACTGACTCCCGATGAATCGTCCAAGTTCCTGGGTATTTCCATTTGAGGACACAATGGACTGGGATCATCATATTGGGTTAATGGAAAGGGATATACTTGAGCGAGTTGCAGACCCTGCATTGGAGATGAACTACTCCTGTATGAGTGGAAACGGTATAAGACTGGCTTTATGCAGAAAGGTATTATTGCACGAATAACCTAGATCAATTCGGTGTCATCGACCTCCACACCCATTGATATGTTAATGGAGACGATCGCAAAGATGTGTTGGATAATGCACTTATTGGTATTCTTTCGCTGGCGATGCGGCCAGTCTTGTTCCGAATGAATGCGCATCCAGGCATAGAAGGCAATAGTCGTTGTCTGGGACTATAATAGCTATGCCTTAGAAGGAAGGGGTGAAAGTGAAATTGATGACTTATATTAGTTACTTGGGTGTTGATCTCACGTACTGTGCTCACATCAACTGAGATTGTCTAAACGGGACTTCAAAGAGAGTCCGTATATGTGCGTGAAAGGGTGGGGTAAAGAATGGCCACAAGAGTTCCTGTTAACTATCTTTCGTGTTTAGGTTTTACCTCGCATTATACTGGCAAATGGACTCCAGTAGTAATAGTAGATGGGTTTTCATCGTTGTGCTGTGATTTCCTCTTGGAGGAGGCCTTAGCGTCCTTCTGAAGTTCTAACTGTAGCTTTGTAATTAAGATCATTCCATGTAGGTGTATACAAGTATACTTAAATTCATGGGCATGGGCACAGAAACCCTCTTTAGCAGTCTGAGGTATAACAGAAGATATGGGAAGTCAACGCTTCCTAGGGTCAACCTCTCATATCTAAGCCTGAAATGTAAGGAGTCCACCAACAACCCTGTACTGAAAGGTAGTGGTCTTTATTGCTTATGAGTGAGAAACCTGGAGCTTTATATTGAGGTGCTCATCTATAGAGTCCACACGGTCTTAAAGATATACACGTAGTATATTAACATCTAAATTACAAACAAATATATACATGACTCGCGGTATCATGAAAATGCAACCAAGTATCTCGAAAGAGAACGGTCAATGTCGTTAGGAACGACGTAGTAGACATAATCCAAAATAAAACGTATTCACAGACCCATACCCCAAACGTAAGAAAACAAACTGAACAATTACCGACCAAACACCTTCAACTCAGCCGTTCTCAAGAAGATATACGACACCGAAGCAAACGCAAATGCCAACTCGAACCCGACATCGCCACCACTGGGTAGCGCACCCGCATGCTTCGCAATCGGTCCGATCCACCACGACTGGCTCATTCCAGTGACCATACCGGCGATACCGAAGCCGAAAGCAACCGCGGCCGCAATGCCTGGGGGAAGCTTGTCGGGCTTGTCATAGATCTCGATGCGGTATCCTCCGAAGCCACGTTTGAAGACGAAGTGGTCAGTGAGCGAGATGCCGGAGTAAATGGCGAGCCAATAAGCAATGATATTCATGAAGTTCTCCAGGATGGTCTCGAAATGGGAATATCCAGGAATTGCAATGGCCACTGAGGCGCAGGAACCCAGGAACACCCAGATGAAACGAGGAATTCTCTGGGTATAACGGCTCAGAACTTGGAGGGTCAGGGAGACGGAGTAGATGTTGGGGCAGTTGTTGGCGACAATGGAGAGGGCAAGGATCACGAGGCAGAACTTGCCGAATCCACCAAGAGGCTCGAGGACAGCAGCGAGCAAACCTCCGTTTCCGGAAGCTGTATAGCCAGCTTGGTACTTGTTGTCACCATCATTGAGACTGGTGGCTGTCATAACGGCGATTCCGAGGAATTGTGTGAATATCAGAGGAACGATAAGCCCGGCCCATGCTGAGAAGAAGATTTTGCGGCGACTGCGGTCCCTGGGCTGATACACCGTGTAATCAGCCGCGTAGCTGGTCCATCCCGTGGCAAATCCGTACACCGTGGAACCAAAGGAGAGGCAGCTACCGAGTTCGGATTTCCCGACGCCCATGGGGATATTCACAAAATCTCCGGAGTGGGCGAAAGTGCCGAAGACGATCATGAAGACGATGAATGTCGGCACCCAACTCCAGTACTCATACATGTGGACGACCTTATATCCGGCGAAAGTGATAATAAACGTGCAAAAGGCGATAATTAAGACACCTGCAAATCCTGGGACGTCGGTGTTGACCGCATGGAGAAGCTGTGCACCAACGATTGCATTGGCTGCAGACCAACCAATACAGGCCAAAACGTTGAGACAGGCAACTAGACAAATATTAGTGGCTGTTTAACTAGATTAAAACACCACGAAGTGGATATACTCACTGAACTTCGTCCCCCAGTAACCAAACCAGAACCTTGAGAGAACCATTTGTCGCAGGCCGAAAGGAGGACCAAAGCACGAGAAGAACCCCACAGTCATGATGCCCAACAGGTTGAAGAAGAGATTCACCAGGATGGCATCCACAAAGCCAAGAGCGAAAAGGGATTTTCCGAGGACACCAATGGCAAAGGAACTGACTACCATGTTGGCTGCCAACCACTGCGTGTTGGGTCAGTTGGACAGGCGGTCTTGGAATGCCAGACAAAATAGCTGGCATAGACAAAATTAACGCGATGGAATCATGAACACACCATGCTGCCAATATTGAAGTACGACGTATCCGTCTGCTCCTCTGCCGGTACCCGTTCAATTCCACGCTGCTCGATGTTGATCTTTCCGGCGAGTCGCTGGAGCTTAGCATACAGTGAATCCCCGTATACAAAGGTCTCCCCGGGCACGGCGCCATCGCTGCTGGTGTCCAATGTCGTCTTCGCCACCTGAGGACCTTTTTCAAGGTCTTGATCTTTTCTTCCAAACATCGTGCTAGATTCGGGGAGTCCGACAGGACCGTTTGTTCCAACGGTGATTTCCTGATTGATGAAGATCCCCACCAATGAAGGAGGAGACTTGAGAATATAGAGAGAGGGCCGGAGAGCTAGATAGCTCTTAAGACCAACCAAGTAGGGTTGGTAGGGAGAAGGAGGGGGAACGGAAATAATCAAGCTGGGGTTCACATCTTTCCTTTCTCTTTCTTTTTTCCTCTGCGTCAGAGGATGGGGGGAGCTAGAAATAAATATTTGGTCGGAAGGACTAGGACAAATTCTTCCCACACATCTCCACTCGATCTCAAACCAGCGAGAATTGCCGCGACCGCGTAACTTCCGCTGGGTTTTACTGTCGCGTGTCTTCCCAAATCCAGGTCAAGCCTTTTTTTACTCGTTTCGAGAAGGCCGTTCGGGGATCCACTCGTGCCTTAACCCTAAGGTTTACTCTCCCTAACGTGTCTTTTCAACGAATCATGGATCGACAAGCTTTCTCATAGTCGTTCTGATTGGCGGATAGGAAATTTTCTCGGAAGGCCAAGCACCATATGAATTTCCGTGATTGGCTGCAAATTTTGACAAGCCATGTGGGGCCTGACCAAGGGTGGCAACGTGAATGATAAGACTTTCACTGCTGATAGGCACCGTTCCTGATTATCTCAGTCACTGATACCACGACCATATCACCTGCCCGCATTCAAGCTTTTGCCTATCGATCGCAGTTATCTTTGATTGCTCACGGATGATATGGCTTTTAATATCTTCATTAAAGCATCGGACAACACCGATACAATCCTACTAGTACAAGATGACTATCCCATACACATGATATACTAGATTGTCTATATTACTTCAATATCACATACTCATTTTGACTTAACACTATAGCCCCAAGTCACGATAGAGGAAACATCTCATATTTAATTACAACGTGTTTGAATATGTTATCTGCTAAATCTCCCACTTCCAACATAAACATCACGTTGCTTTATGTGATGATGATGATGATGATGATAATAGTGATGATATGCTACGTAAATAATCATATCCAGAGATCACCTCCATATCCTTCTCCAGATCTCCTGCTTACCCCGCGCCAGCGGAAACCTACGATCTCTCTAGTCCCAACTCACAGCTCGGTAATCGCCGCCTCTGATAAGGCATGCAACCAGACAAGCTATCGATTGTCCTTGGCGCAGCTGCAGCTCTAACGATGTATGTTTGGGTGAAAGTATATCGAAGATGACTTCATCAGGGAATGCTCTAGATAATGATTGGATACTCAGTGCTTTGGACCCTTAGATTTTCGGAGAAATTTTAGGTTTTGCTGTTGTATATATGCTCCGGACTCAGCTGGAAACTATCATGTAAACATAGTGTTATCGTGGTCTAAGACTTCTGACCCATCAAAGAAATAGACCAGGTACTCAACTAACTTATAAAGATCCACAATGGATGACCGTGCAGTAGTATTGAACGCATCTTTATCCCCTACCTTCAAGTATCATATCCCAAATCCCACACGCAGCAGTTATGTTACATCGGGCGTTTTGACCACATATTTAGACCACTGCCCATATTACACTGGCTTCGATGTATCCACTACTCTCATCTTAAAACTCATGAAATAAGACTTGCTTCATCTATTCATTTCTAGCCCAGGAATCGACAGACCAAGCTACTCTTCAACCTATAAGTTGATTCTAAAACTATACACAACAATATCCTACCGCCTACACAGTATTGCCATACCACATCCGCAAGCCCTAACCCGAACCTCAAGTGGATCAACCCCCGACCCATAATCCCCACCTGAAAGCAAAAAAAAAAAAAAAAAAAAAACCCGCCACAAGTTGTTCCACAGTTAGCACCTCGGCAGCTCGGCTCTTGTCCTTAACGGAGTACTGCCAAATTCCTTCTCAGTTTATGCGTGAAATGCGTTGCTTGTGAAAGTCATATGTATATTAATATGTCATGATCTAGATCATTATGAGATACTACTTACTGTGTTCGTATACCGCTAGGATATCCATATGAAGTTATGTATAGTATGGTCTGTTGCTACTTGATAAAACTCCTTCCGATGAGTCAGCGGCTCTTTGCCACTGGCTCCCTCCCCATCGTCCTGTTGATATTTACGGAACGATTCCATGTTCGGTTGGTTTCATGGTCGGGTCTAGGTGGAGAGGGAGAATTGCACGGGTACGGCTTGCCGAACCGATTGCATAATACTATCTTGGGTTCGGTCGGGATTTATGTATTGCCGTCTCTGGGTGATTCTTTTGTGGGTATCTCTGGATTGTAGATTGCTTTACTTGGTATAAAGGCACTTAGCTCAGGTTATATGCTGGTTTAGCTTACTATGTTGTCTTCTGTGGTCTATGGCCTTACTTTCTGCCGCACAATGTTGCAAACACCACTGCTAAACAGCTGCAAATTGAACCGTGGTCCAGTCCGGCTGCTGGAGAGCTCTCAAGCTGAAAAGAAAATTGGAATAGGGAACGCTAACCAGTGTAAATGGTCATGAATATCAACATTTATATGCACCATCCTCATACCCGGAGTGCGCCATTAACAATGAAATTATTTACAGTTTAGCAAGCATCTTGTGGCCCTTCTGCAACAGATCAGAGGCATCATTAACAAGCTCATCAACAATAGCCTTGGCAGACTTCTTCTCATTGACGACGGCGGCGACCTTGCCCATCAGGAAGGGACGGGCGTTGTCCAGGGTCTCGTCATCAACGTCATCGGGCAAGTTCTCCATGTCGTGTTCGACAGGGATGATACCCTTGGAGGTCAATTGCTTGATCTCCTCCTGGCGGTTCTCTTCCCAGTTCTTGATGTAGGCGTTGTTGCGAACGCGAAGGGGACGACCCTACAGACCGGTTAGCGAGAATTCGCACGTCCAAGAATGTCCAAAAACCTACAGTGAAGATAATGGTGCGGACATTGTCCTCGAATCCGGCAGTGCGGACGGCCTCCTGGTGAGCAGTAGGAGCACCGGCCTCATCGGACAGGATGAAGCGAGTACCAATCCAGACAGCAGAGGCACCAAGCATAAGAGCGGCGGCAACCGAGTTACCATTGAACAAACCACCTGCGGCGACGACCTGTACAGGCTGACCAGTCAAGGGGCTCTTCTTGCCTTGGCACAGCTTGGCAACGGTAGGGATGAGAACGGTGGTCGGAACATCACCAGTGTGACCACCACCTTCACCGCCCTGGGCGCAGATGATATCTACACCAACATCAAGGGCCTTCTGAACGTGCTTGGGGTGGCCGATCATGTTCATGCACAGGATGCCAGCACCGTGGAGCCTCTCCACGACCTGTTTGGGAGGGACACCGACGGCCGAAACGAATAAGCGTGCACCGCTCTCAATGATGATGTCGACAAGCTCGTTAAGCTTTCCCTTGGTGTAGTCGTAGCTGAGGACAGGCTTGGTTAGCATTTTTGCCTCTCAACCAAGGTGTCCCAGGTAAAGGGAGGCTTACTTGGTCTTCCGTGCGTTTCCTCCGACCTGCGGAAGCAAAAGGTCAACACCAAAAGGTGCATTCTTGTCATTCAAGTAGCTCTTGAGTTCTGCAATCTGTTCACGAAGCATGTCGGGGGTGTAGCCGACACCACCGATGACACCGAGACCACCGGCGTTGGTGACCGCTGCGGCCAACTTAGGACCGGCGGCCACGTTCATACCTGCCAGCAGGATGGGGTGTTGGATCTTGAGCAGATCCGTAAGGGTAGTACGGATTTTCTCTGTCGAAATCTGTGGTTAGCAAGGGATCCTATCCAGTTGCATGTTCACAGCTCCCAATCATATGATGGAAGGGCACAAAGGCGGTGGGAGCTTACGAGGAGAAGCCATGGTTGAGGGTGGGACGTTAGAAGAGAAAGTGACCGAGAATCAAAAGATAGATGTAGTGAAGATGATCAGGAACGATGACATGTGGAGAGCATGGAGAAATAAGTCCTAAATATAGGAGAAGAAGAAGATGGGGTGAACCGAGGAGGAAGCATGAGCATGACAGCCTCGGTTGCAACTTTAACACGGGACCTCCGAATGAACTTAATTTCCCCATAGTTGCCAATGCTGTTTGGGTTTAGTGCCGAACTTGTAGGCCGATTCACAGGCGGGGTTTCAGAAGTCTATTAGTCACCCTAATTTAATGCCTCAGGTGTCGTGCATCAGCTGATTCCGCTCCCGAAAAGCAATGCAAGCCGTTGCATGACGTATGGCCCGAACTTTTTTTTTGGACGAGTCATAAGAAGATCTACTGATAGACGCCAGGGCTGCTCATTTCTCAGGAAGTATGAGGCCAGCGTCAATTAGGAATTGGCATCCCAATGCTACATCCCTAACCTCAACCATTCCTGGCTGCGAACCATGGCCTTCTTTCAATTCAGGCTTGTTTCCAACCCCGCGACACAGCAAGGTCTGTGTGCCGGCTTATAGGAGGTTCTGTGCGGGCCCAAGAACGAGGCAGGTTTTCTTTGACAATTTGCATGATAAACCCTCTCGTCTAACATACTGATAGAAATCTGTCTATCTCTGGTACTAGTATGTTACTCCAATTGCATTTTTAAGTATTCACTGCGATCAAATTCGATCCTCAGTTCGTCTAAAGTACCACTGAAATATGTTTCCAACCGAGCATCGCATTTTGCCATAACACTTTATGTAGCCACGGAAACTAATACCATGTGTATTAGATCTCGGAGTATCTGGACGACGTGATAGCTGGGCATTGTCCCAGTCTAATGTGGGCAGTTCCAGCCATGGGTCTCTAAGATTGTCCGCATCTACCAGGGGCGTTTCCACTAGCTCATTGAATTCATTCAATACCGGAATGAATCCCTGTAACCCTCCACTTCACCGGGCTTTTGTAGCCCTTGGAAGCAATGTCGGAGAGCGGGTTGAGATGATTGAGAAGGCATGCTCCGAAATGGAGAGAGCCAATATCAGAGTCAAGCGAACAAGTTCCCTGTTCGAGACGGCTCCTATGTACGTCCTCGATCAAGATCCGTTCATGAATGGGGTTTGCGAGGTCAGTAACCATCTAGTGTAGCTTTGTACTGTACAAGCTCTTCTGACCTCCAACGGATAGGTGGAAACCAGCTTAGGACCTATGGAGCTACTCGATACCATCCAATCGATTGAGAGCGGACTGGGAAGGAAGAAGCTGATCGACAAGGGCCCCCGGTCCATCGATCTTGATATCCTCCTCTACGACGAACAGATCTTCTCCAACGACCGCCTCAACATCCCTCACCAGCTAATGCTCGAACGGGATTTCGTACTACGACCTCTCTGCCAGTAAGTCCCGTATAAGACACCCCCTCCCACAAACCAGAGAGTTAACAACCGCCCACCAGGCTCATCCCTCACGAACGACCTCCATTCCCAGGTCACGGCACAACCTACCTCTCCCATCTCAAATCCCTCCCCCCACCAGACCCAACTCCCCATGCCACAACCTACATATCCAAGAACTTCCCTCCACTCCACTCCACCAACCCTAACCGCCCAACCCACATAATGGCCATCCTAAACCTAACCCCCGACTCCTTCTCCGACGGCGGTAAACACTCCCCAACAGACCTAACAACCCTAACCAACACCGTCCGCACCTTCATCGCATCCGGCGCAACAATCATCGACATCGGCGGCGAAAGCACCCGCCCAGGCTCCGCCCCCGTCGGCGAAGCCGAAGAACTCGCCCGAGTCATCCCAGCAATCAGACACATCCGCACCTCCATCCCAGAAGCCGCAAACGTCGCCATCAGTATCGACACATACCGCGCTCGCGTCGCCGAGGAAGCCTGTGCCGCCGGTGCAGACATCATCAACGACGTATCCGCCGGCCTCCTCGACCCAGACATGCTCCCGACAATGGCCCGCACCGGCAAATCCGTCATCCTCATGCACATGCGCGGCACCCCATCAACAATGACCCAGCTAACGGACTACCCCAACGGCGTGATCCGGGACGTGGGCGCCGAACTCCTCGAGCGCATCTCCGCCACCGAAGCAGCCGGTATCCGCCGTTGGCGAATGATCCTCGACCCCGGGCTTGGGTTCGCGAAGAATCAGCCTCACGATCTGACTATCCTTCGTGATTTGCAGAAACTCCGCACGGGTGTCCAGGGACTAGAGTATTTTCCTTGGTTGATGGGTCCTAGTCGGAAGAGGTTCATTGGCAGGCTTACTGGCGTTGAGAAGGCAAATGAGCGCAACTGGGGTACGGCTGCTACTGTTACAGCTAGTATTGCTGGTGGCGCGGATATTGTTCGTGTCCATGATGTTAAAGAGATGTGGCAGGTGGCTAAGGTCGCGGATGCTATTTACCGGGTGGATGAGTAGGGGGTTTGTTGTGTGGGTGTGTGGAATGGTTGAGGTATGTGTGTGACACTTGTATATTTTCAACAATATCGAGATCTTGTAGGATAGTGGGATCATCATCAACTTGTATGATATAAAAGCGATGTATATGACTTTTCAAAAATTTCTTGGGTGTGAGTTTTGTAAAGGACCTAGTCTGTTGTTAGGGCTAAGGCTTGTATAAGATCTAGTGATCTTCAATTTTTGTTCTTGACCTGCAGTAGATGCCTAAATTCAAAGCTATCCATGGTTGCTACAAGGTAGATTCTTTCTAAAGTATAAAATATATGGTTTTAATTGACAAAAAACGCCTAGCACTACCTAAGAAAACAAAAAGAAAAGAAAAGAAAAGGATATACAGGAACAATAGCAAATCAAAGATGATATTCAATGAAGATGCCAACTTAAAAGATTTTCGAACTAAGTCAGAATCACGAGCAATTAACAAAGAAGCCGACCTCGACCACTCCGCGAATCGGACTACAGTAAGCCGAACGTCTTCCCGGCTAGAGTGCTCGCAGTCCCCAGGGGTGAAATTAGGCCGGAGTTGCGTTCGCGAGGATATCTTTCTAAAGGGATAGGGATAAAAACGCCACCAAAGTGATAGGCAATGAACTGGCTAATCATGGCAAAGTAATGGTGTCCGAAGGTGGAGATTGAAAAGGTTGCCGCGGTATTGATCATTTGGTTGTATCCGTTTAGCTGTTCATGTAGTTACGTATGGCGCCTAGACAGAATTGTCAGTAGGAGGCAAATGAACAGAGACGGGATAACTAACCTTGCAGTTTGACGGCACTGTCTCCGACGAGTTGTGTAAGGTTCTCAAGATCATCTCCGGCTGTCATGCCAAAACGACGAACAAAGTCCTTGGCCGCAGTTTCCAAGTCTCCATATCCATCATCTCCAGCGGGGAGATCGTCTTCAGGGCGGCCAAAGTAGGAGTTACTGGAAATAGCGGTGGCACCATCGAATTGGCGGAGGCGCTCCTTAGCCTCGGCCTGGGCTGAGGGATCGAATCTATCACGCCCGAAGAACTCATCGGAGGAGATACCCTTCTGGGTACCAAACCTGGACTTGGTCTGGTTGAGTTCCTCCTCTGGATGATTTATTAGCATTTGCAGTTAATTTCAACATGGCAATAGTGAACTCACCCTCAGCAGCTGACCGAGCAGGAGCGACAGAGCCGAAGCCCAGCTTTTTCGGAGCAGCAGGCTTCGAACCAACAGTCTGGCCAAATCCTAGGCGTCCGATACCCATTCCCAAACGCTCTACATCGCTAGAGTTACGCTCGTGGGACTTTCTGGAGGCGCTGGGGCTGATCGGCGTGGGGGCAGCAAGAGGCGTAGCTCCTGTAGTCGTACTCTTAGCCTTGGCATCGGCCTCAGCCTTTTCAGCCTCGGGATCATATCCAAGCTTCTCAATGCGCTCGGCTTCCTCCTTGGCCTTCCTTTCTGCTTCTTCGAAATCGATGGCCTCAGCTGCGCCGATCTTCTTCGCTCCCAGCTTGGGGGCCTTCTTGGCACCTAGCACACTGCCCTTCTTTGCAGTACTAGCCGTCGTAGTCTTCCGGACAGTAGTGCTGGCCCTGATAGCAGCGGGAGCGGGAGAGCTTTCCTTTTCGGATCCCGAAAGAGGAGACTTGGAGCGCGAGCCATTTGCGCCTGCGTTCAAGAATGGAGACGCAGTGCGGCTGACCACCGGGGGAGTTCCTGTGCGTGAGGGAGGGTTGCTTGGGCGCTTGATCGAGGGCTTATCCCAGGAAGAGAAGAAGTCATCCTCAGCATCGCCGGCAGGCGTACTAGAGCCGTTGGACGGGGTGCCAGCGGGAACGTCCGTGATCACAACCTCTTCGGGGTGTCTGTGAGGGAAAGCAGGGTAAGCATCTAGCGGTAGAGTGATATGCATAGACAATATGGTACTTACTGCTCGGCATCCTGCGCAGCCCGCCTCTTCAATTCTTCCTTGTACTTCACGGCAGCATTGCATGTATACTTAACCTTAGTGTCCTTGCTAGCCAGGGCAGCGGAACCTCCATGCGACTGGAAATACTTGGTGGCGGACTCATTTCCACCGACCTTCATAAGCCGAAGTTGCTCCCATTGCCATTCTGTGAGCATCCATTAGTGCCAAGCCAAAGACCTATCTAGGGTAGACGGTAATGCATACGGTCGAGGTTTGTGGAACGAACGAAGGAAATGTGGACACCCAGATTACGGTGGTGGGCCGAGCAGTCGAGACACAGGTAGATACCGAACGGCACCGACGACCAAGTAGGGTTCTTGGAGCCGCAATCAAAACATAACTATGAGGTTGGAGTCAGCGAACTCGGCCAATTTCTAGACCGGTGGGTGAGGGGTTGCGCGCACCTTGTTTGCGGGCTTTAGCTTGAGTTTCTCGAATATTTTTTGAGACTCCGCCTTGGTGGCACTCATTGTGAGACGAGTAGGACGAGACGGGTCCTGAATGAAGTAGAAACAAAGACGGTATAGGATGTCAGGACTTCGAGGGAGGAGGAAGAGAGATCCAAAATGCAACCGGGAGAACGAACGTGGTCGGAATCGTTTTGGACCCCCGGGCGGAAGTTACAAATTACTGTAACTTTTAAAAATCCCTCTATGTTTAAAGGGGGAGATCTGATCTGAAACGTTGCAAAAAGATGTTCTTACCCTGTTTTCATCTTAATGAGATCCACAATTAATACTTTCAAGCCAAGCAATGGTATCAAATACAGGACTAGATAGGGAAGTCTTCACACCTTCTTTGTTACTCTGTATTGCAATTACATCTATACTCGGACCCTTCCGGAAATTTTCACCAGAGCGGAAGTCATCCACGTGACCCACCCGTCTCCCCACATGGACCGAGTCTCAATGAATGCCGACCACGGCTCAGCGCATGGAATTTTATGAGATCATTCAGCAGTTCTTGCTCGAATCTCCCATGCTCACGACTGCCGTGCGATACAGTTTGATCCGACGGGAACCCGGGTGATGTTCGATATCCCACAATGAGTGCATACCTCATACCCAGACCTTCCTTGCACCGGGCTTCGTCTGCCCTTCTCTTGCGCCCTGGATTTCCCCGCACGAGCGAGTTGACGCGATGCTATGCGACTCACAGCGATCTCGGGGGAGGCTCAGGGCCAAAGTCGACCCCAAAGCGGAGGAACGTGACCGTGCTGTCCGATGATGGGCGGTATGAATGGGGAGAACTGACGGGACGGGAAAAGGTTGCGCGCGCTACCCAGCAGTCGTTCAACTTGGTGATTATATTGGCCGGGGCGGCTTTGACGGTTAGTTAGGTCTGAGTGGGCAACAATGTTGCTCATGGAAAACTCATGATGCATGTCGGATACAGGACTGATACATGGGCAGGGGGGTGTATGTTACTTGCTTTACTCAGAGGTTTTCTCCCCGAATAGCCGGACATGGCAGTACGAGAAGGCAGTTGAGCGCATCTTAGACGACAGTCGTTGTACGGACATTCTGGGAGACCGAAGGGAAATCAAAGCATATGGAGAAAGCACTTCGAATAAATGGGCGCGGAATCGTCCTATTGCGTGGGTACCCTGTTCTTCTTGGCTGGCCACGTATCAGAGGCACTAACTTCATATTAAGAACTACCATGGAAAAGGATCGTTTAGGGCGTGACCATATGAGGATGAACTTCCATGTATGTTGCGCTATTTCTTAGATGACGTGTGCATAGCTAACTGTCAACGCTCAGGTTGAGGGACCACGCAACAAAGGAGTTGTACACGTCCATATGATTAAGCCACTTGACAAGAATGAGTGGGAATATCAGCTTCTCGCATTGGATGTTAAGGGTAAGTAACAGCTCATCTCCGACATAAACAATTCCAAGCTAAGGCCCTTATGCAGGTCACTCTCGGGTCATCCTTGAGCAAGCTCGCGAGAAGCCTGGAGTCGGGCAAGCCTTGAAAATCTTTGGCATACAGTGGCGATAGACCACGTCCTTGTCCAAATACAATCTTTGTGCTCTGTCAGGCTGCCTTCGACATGAATTCGGCCGCGGACTCCCTCTTTCTACACAGGCTGGCCGTACCAGAAGTGAGAGCTAGGTGTTTCCATCTGCAGCCGATGTAAACCAATCGGCATGATCATCGCTGTTGTTTAGTTCTCCGATGGACTTAAAGCTTGAAGCGGTAGGTAGCTTCAAGCTTGTGACAGACGAAAGTCATTATTCTTGGGTGGCCTGCGTCTGCGTAAGGCTTCTTTGTGCCACAACGCCACAGTTACACACCCGTGTTGTACTATATCAAACCCATACTTGGGCATGTATTCATAAAGCATTTTGCAGCGTATTAAGTGAACGAAATAATAGCAGCAATTTTCACGGGAAATCAAACAATGCGATGGCTATTTTCAATACATAAATATTCACATGAGAAACATAAAAAACATATACATCAAGTTTTAGTCTCATTATATCCGAGGACCCTCCAGAATTGTCTTCGCAGCATCCGTCGTCCACCAACTCTTGCCCTGCTCACCCGGGAAAGCGAACTCATCCATACTCTCGGGCTTCATCTCCACACTGTACCCAGGCTCCAGAGGGGTAACGTAGTAACCATCCTTGACACTGGAGGGGTGCACGAAGTGCTCGTGCAGGTGATCCACATATTCCAGCACACTCTTCTTACCGCTGACAACAACGTAATCAATTGTGCTAAGATGTTGAGTGTACTCAGGCAAACCAACACCACCGGAGTGAGGGACGATAGGGACACCGAACTTGCGAGCAAGCAAGAGGATAGCGAGGACCTCGTTGACACCACCGACACGGCAAGCATCCGCCTGGAGAACAGTCAAGGCTCCTGCCTGCAGAAGCTGCTTGAAGATAACGCGGTTCTGGCACATCTCTCCGGTGGCGACGCCGATAGGGCCGTGGGGGGTGTTCTCGAGGGCCTTCTTAATAGCGGCGTGGCCGAGGATGTCGTCGGGGGAGGTGGGCTCTTCAATGAACCAGGGCTTGAACTCGGCGAGCTCGTGCATCCAGCTGATAGCCTCCGGCACAGACCAGACCTATAGATGAATGTTAGTAATGTGATAGAGAGACAGGTTTCGCCCAATGCCATTGTCAACTCACCTGATTAGCATCCACCATCAGAATGTTACCCTGGTCGTAACCAATGGCCTCACGAGCAATGCGCAACCGCCTCTTATCATCTTCAATGTTACCTCCAACCTTCAGCTTGAAGTGCCTGTAGCCCTGCTGGACGGTCTCGTGCAGAAGAGCCTTCAGCTTATCCTCGCTGTAGCCCAGCCATCCGGCACTAGTAGTGTAAGCAGGAACAGCACGGCTCTGCTCCGCCTCCTTAATACGCTCCTCCTTGCCACTCTCTACCTCCTTGAGCAATGCAATGGCCTCTTCAGGAGTGATAGCATCAGTGATATACCGGAAGTCGATGCAACGGACGAACTCCTCGGGTGTCATCTCCGCCACGATCCGCCAGACAGGCTTGCCCAGTGTCTTAGCCCACAAGTCCCAGAGGGCATTGACGACGGCTCCCAGGGCAAGATGGATCACACCCTTCTCAGGACCAATCCAGCGCAGCTGGCTGTCTGATACTAGATGGCGCCATGTCTTGCCCCAGTTGGCTGTGAGCTCGTCCAAGTCCTTTCCAACGACGAGGGGTGCGAGAAGAGAGATGGCGGCGCAGACGATCTCGTTTCCACGGCCGATGGTGAATGTCTATTTAGTTAAGGTGTTAGTGTTATTGTGGCTGTGGCGGGCATTGCACGATCCACATACCATTCCGTGTCCAGCATGCGGGGAGTCAGTGTAGATGATACAGTAGGCTGCGGAGTAGTCGCCTGCTGCATTCATGGCATCGGAGCCAGTCTTGTCCAGGGATGTCTGTTCTTTGAGTCAATAACTGAAGAGCAATTGCATCGCATCTAGAAACCGCCTTTTGACTTACCGGAAACCGCACATCCCGGGTAGTGAAACCTGTGATCTTCACCATTGTGTAGGGTATATTTTGTAGAAATGGAGGGAAATAAGGTCAATTGAGTAGTTTCAGAGTAACAGAGTAAAATCAGGCTCTGGTCGTAGGCGGAAGAATTACAATCGCTTTTTCTTTAAAGATGCGGGGGTGGTCATACAATGTCGTGTATGAAACGAGGAGAGATCTATGCAAAGTCTAGGTATAGAACCCCAAACAAAACAGAGACAGTGAGCAGAGACGTCTCTTGCGCAAGGAATGAAATAGACACGAAGCAAAAAAAAAAATCAAGTTACAGAGGGGGTAAAAGGCGCAAGATATACGGCTTTCACCCCTCCTCCCCTCCAGGCTAAATAAGGGAAATACATTGAATTGCGCTGGACTAATTATCCCGATACTGTGGGGAATCCATCATCATTGGCGGAGGAATTCTTCCACCCCATGGGAACAGTTTTTCCACCACTCAACGTGTGCGATTTGACAGTCGGACCGCCTCCGTCCATGTTCCTGAGTATCTAATCTTCTGGATGTCATTTACGCTAAAAACTCTTGGTCTGCTGACAAAATGATACAGTTTGTAGTTAATGCCGAACGGCTGCGGCTGATCTCCGTCCGTACGTTGGATCGGCTATAGATATGCCTCTTTACATGCATAAACACTAATAAAGTACAAGCCTTCACTACTGATGAGTCCGGTAAGACTATGTTTACATTGGCTAGCGATAGATAAGCCTGGGAAACGTGCTGATCAAACATGCCATATACCGAATGCAACGTAGTTTGTGCCTTGAAAAGGCGGATATCAATTTAAAAGTACTGGTGCTTTCATGTAATAGTGGATAGGTGTCGTGAAACAGGAGTACTACCCTCTCTAGACTTGATTGACCCGGTCTGACCTGGGCTTTGCCCAGCGTCCAGAGGTCTTCTAACCAGACAGGCCTCTCTTCTCGCTTTCGGAGAAGAAGATGATCATTCGCCACAGCTTCCGCACCAAGACTTCTGCCTCTTCGTCGAGAGCCTAGGAAAACAAAGTTAGACACTGCAACCGATCGACAAAAACAAGACTTTATTGAAGATAAACTCACCTCCTCCAGTTGTTCCACCAGCTCTTGGGGATGCCCGTGCTTTCGAACATGCTCTTCCACCACATCCACCAACATCTGTTCCTGAACACCCAGATATTCGACAATCTTCTTTTCCACGAAGGGCTTGAGCTGTTCGCTGACCACATTCTCGTCCACGAACTCCCACTTGACTTCCCAGTTCCACAATCCTTCCTTCTCGGTGGGGATTTCGGCGGCCAGGTGTCGGGCAGCTTGCGCCCGCTCCTCCTCGCTGAGTCCGGCAGCCTCCGCAGCGCTGTCGAACTTGATCGGAATGAGAGGACGTCTTGCCGTTGCTTCCGGCTCTTCTTCGTCTTCCAGCAATCCTTCGACTTCGGCAACAGTCCGGCGGCTGGTTGCAGCCTGAGCCTTCTGGGCCGCAGCTCCAAGGGAGAGCTTGAAGCGCTGGGGTTCTCTGGGGGCCTGAGTCCGGGTCTCCAATTCGTCTGCCTGGCGAGCAAGGAAGTCGTCTGCCATACCACGTGCCTGTTCCCGTTGTTGGACAGAGCGAGCCCGCTCCCGTTCTTCGGCAGCACGATCGGCCTCATCCATACTAACTTCACGTGCTCGGAAGGCTGCACGACTGCGCAACCACGCTCCCCTATCCGCGTAGTAGTCGTGGGCCTTGCGGCTAGCCTCCGCATCATCATTCCACTCCCCGAAATGCCTATCAGCTTCTTCGCGCACTTCCTGCATTTTGGCTTCCTCCTCCTTATCCCGCTTCTTCTCGCGCTCTAAAGCTGCAGTCCTGCTCCGTTCGCGATTGAGCCAGCGTCGCTCTTGATCGAGGAATTGTTTCTCTGCTTCCGCATCCTTCTTCTCTTGACGGCGACGCTCCAGCTCTTCATCGCTCGCATCGGAGTCTTCATCTTCACGATTAATGTAAACCGGGGCGCCGTTCACCGAACCTCCGTTTACAAACGCCACACCCTTCTGGTAATCCTTCGGGATCTGCACACCAAAGCCCTTCGGACCAGATGGCGCATTCGGCATGCTGCGGTCCCGAGGACCAAGAGGGATCCCGTTTGCCCCAGCAGCGGGTCCGCTTGGAGCTGTAGGTGGAGGGGAAGCCAGGCGGCTGATGCGAGAATTTGAGTTGCGTGCTCTTTCCATGGACTCGATCTCTTCCTCTCTCTTCAGACGCTCGATATCCCTACGGTTGCTTCTCTCACGGAAAGCTGCAATCTCCTTAGCAACTGTTTCCCTCATTTCCGGAGGAATATCAGATAGCTCATCCTCGACTGTGATGGGGATAGTGACGACTTCGGCCGATGCACCATCTTGGCCCTCTGCATCCTTCATCGCAGTGTCCCCTTCACGATCAATCGCCGAAACATCCTCTTTCTGAGTGGGCGATGACGGGTGAAACAAGTCCGAAAGGACGCTGGAGAGAGTCGAGCGCGCAGCATCTATGCGAGATTGCCGTTCCGCGGGGTCCTCCTCGCCTTTGCTAGCCTCGTATTGCTCTAGGTATTTCAGAGAGCTCTCGTCAACGACAACCTAGTGTGAACAAACGTTAGAAGCTGCTCGTAACTCGCCCACATGCATAATACATACCAGTAGTTGGCTCTTCTCAATCTCACTATCTTCCTTGTCACCGCCCTCCGACGGCGTCTGTCTCTTCAAAGGCACTTCGATGTCCTTTAGTACTTCCACAGCTGTACCCAGACTCTCGGGGTCCTCGTACTCAGCGAAACCGAACTTGCACGGTTTTTCATCCGCATCCGTAGCACGGATCCAGCGCCTAAGATTCCCAGCAGACCGCAGAATCCTCTCAACGCCCTCGTCGCCACCAACACCCTCAGTAATACCCCCGACAAAGAGTGTCCGAACGATCTCATCCCTGGTAGGCGGCTGTAGCTGCATCATCGCATCTCGCACATTCTGGCGCTGAGTTTCCAGATTCGACGAGCCCAACCCGGCACGTCTTCCTGGGGCTTCGCGTTCCTTGCTAGTATCTGGGGTAGCTGACTTCGACGGTCCCGACGTTCCCAAGCGAATCACAGGGGCGGAGAAGTTAATGTTGGGCATATTCGGGGGCGGTTGAAAGTTCGCAGGGAAGCCCGCGGGCCGGCCTGGCTGTTGGGCGTTCGCTTGCTGCATCCCAGGCGGCGGAGTAGTTCCGGGGGCGGACATTCCTGGAGGGGGAGCTATATATTCGTTGTTAGGAGTATGCCAGACAACAGGAGCCAACAGGTGTGCCACTTACCCATGCCGGGAGGAGCTCCCGGGTAGGCCCCGAAATCAGGCGGCCTTCCATATAGACCTGGAGCTTTAGGATGGAGTCAGTAACCTGTAGATAGTCTAGAGTACGAGGTTGTCATTTGGGGGGGGTGTCCTGCCTACCTTGGTAAGGATTATACATTGCGACGAGTTCGCAGCCTCCAGTGCAACGGCAACGATCACGTAGGGAAAATTAAAAGGCTTCGGCAGTCTCTGGTGTATGTGAGTGTCGGGAGACGAATAAGTTTAGGCTGAATTGGTTATGATGCAGAATATAAGGAAAACAGACGCAAGTGTTATTAAGGACACCCCTCGATCTGGGAGAGGGAGATAATGCCTTATGGGTTTGGTTGGAGGAGTTCGCGACGGTTGAGACCGATTTGCTTGTTCAAAGTTCAGGTGGTCCGTGCGTTCTACGTCTTGGCGCATCGGTGCAGAATAAAGTGACAGCCCTAGTTAGAACTCACCAATCTGAGGTCAGCCTTAACTGGAATTATAGTCTAGAGTTCTTCAGTATTTGGCCAATAAAATACTTGAAGTATAAGGACTACTAACTTGGAAGCTATATGATATTGCTCCAATATTTTGGATGCGATGACGTAGTTGGTCAAAGATATATATACAAGCTTGCGCCTATAAATCGGCTCCGTAAAGACCGTGACTTTCGAGTCCTAAAGTTCAGAGAAATTAATACCAGCCTTAACTTGCAATAAGAGTAGTATACAGAAGTTGGCACATGGAGACATGAAGTGAATTTCTCGAATCGCCGTTCTATGGAGTCCCAGACCCAGACAGCAAGTTATGTAAAGGATGTAAGAATGCCGATCGAAGTAAACTACATCTGACATGAAAGCAACCTTCTCTCTCATACAAGTTCATTGTAAAGGTTATAAACCAACCAATACCGCAATAATGGGCTTCTTATATCCTGGCTGGCATGTGGCTCGTAATTCTAGCTACCAATGAGACTGCAGCCTATATTCATATTAAACAGTATGAAACTTGGAAAAGAGATATTTACTCAAAGACAATACTTAATCAGGAAGTCATATAATACTCGACCATATCATACATTCATTCAGTACTTCGTTGACGAAATCGTTTGCTATTGTACATGTTTCACACTCGCAGGAGAGCGCATAAATATTTACTCCTCCGGGTGTCCAGTAGCCTTTCCACCCTTGTGGCCAGCCTCCCTAGCTCTCTCATCTCCAGGCTCGAAGCTTCCACCAGAGGCAAGTCCACCCTTGTGACCGGCCTCCCTGGCCCGAGGGTCTCCAGGACGGAAGCTGCCCGACGAAGCTTGACCACCCTTCGAGGCGATGTCTCTCTGCAGAAAGAAATTAGGAACACACGTAAAAGCGTAAGGGTGATAGGGTATTAGCAATGTACATACCTGCTTATCCTCGTCCATGCTGGCGAAACCACCTTGGTGGCTCGATTGGCCTCCCTTGCGGGCAATATCCTCGACCTCGTCGTGGGGCCGGTTGGCAAAGTTTCCGGGGTTCGGGTTGTCGGCCATTTTTGCTGATTGATGTGTGGTGTTGCGATCTGAGAATTGAGACTCAGAGTTGTTGAACAAATTGTTTTAGTATGTGGTTTTCTGTGTTTGAATAGAAGTGTGTTTTAAGGTCATGACAGCTGATCTTTCCTCATATTTATATTGCAGGCTGCAGACCGAGGGCAGAACCATGATTACATGGTGATGTAGGATGTATGCCCCAGTAACAAGTCTAACCTGGATGCCACACTGCCTAGAAGTTCCACCTTCAATGGATCATCCAAAAGGCAAATATCGTGATGGCCACCTCTTACGCATGTATGACTCTGTAAAACAGGAGAACGGTTCCATTGAGTGGACTCTAATAATAATAGAGTGGCTCCAGTATTGCTGACGTTCATTTAGAGAAAAACTAGTGTTTTAGGTTTGTGTTAAACTTCAGGGATCTGGACTTTAGTTGATTGATTGATGAAATTGATCTATGGGTATGAGGTTCAGGGTTCATCACTATTACCTCATAGGTATGAGGTAGGTGCTCCACTTGCTATAGAACACAACATTCTACTATGCTACTCACCGTGAATTTTACATTATGCAATTGAGCAAATCATTCAATCAGCTTTGGTTTCCGACAATATTGTAAGGTTTGGACTCTCTACCTACTATGTAAGTGGCGGGGGGATGAGTTAGACCTGGAGATATTCGATCCCAATCAAACACTTCATCTGCAGATAGTTTCCCCAACTAATCGAAATACCAAGAGCAAAATGCAAGAAGAAATACAACGATTGTCTCCTTAAAATCAATCGACAGTTCGTCTATGTTTTTACCACATTGTTTTTACCACATAGTATCCCAGTAGTACGTGGGGTAGGATTTTATATCAAGGATAGAGCAACATATCTCACAGTCATAATACAGCAACATCAATTATCATTCAAATTCCCACATATAATTACAACAAAAACATCAAATTTCATATGATTCTGATTCACTCCTCAGGGTTCTCGCCAACTCTCTCGGCAGCACTGCGCCTTGCTTCGTCCGATACATTAGGATTCTGTGCGGCACTAGACATGAGTCAGTATATCTGGACAAATATTCGACCTCACGAAATGAAGTCAGTTGTAATACATACGCTTTGAGTCCAGCATTTACTCTCATCGGATCCTTGTTCTGTTCACCACTCTCGGCATAGAGGTCATGACTAGGCTGGTCACCACCAAGCTGGTCGAGCATCGACTGGGCGTTTTGCTTGGCCTCGTCCGAGACTCTGGGGTTATTGAGGGTGCTATATGTATTCTGATTAGTTTCATTGAGATTTCACGATACTACTGCAAGGGTACTTACGCCTTGTAGCCACGCATGGCGTTGACTCTTTCTTCGGCAGAAGACATTGTGATCAAAAGAGTTGCAAAATTACTAAGCGATTTGATGTATGAAAGCGTAGTTTGAAGTCGTTGAATACACACTAAGTTGAAACAAGAAAACTGTAGATGCTAATATCGACGGCTCTTTAGCTCTTATACCAGCCTCTCAATGTTACTTGATGTCAGTCCCTTGCCACTGTTTATGCTCGTCATAGGAACATAATGTCTATGGGTATCTCGAAAGTGAAGAAGAGTATTGAGCTTGGATTGGTGCACGGCCCTATTGGTGGAAGCTTGAACTAGGGTTCTTCCATATCAACCCAAGTTTGACGTGAGTGGTACATCACCCAGCCATTCTACATTAGGGCTTGCGAACCCATTGCCTTGTACAAGCTACAGGCCATGTCCAGGCTTCTGGAAATTTTTCAGGCGGTCTATAGTATCAATATGAGTATCTACTGTGTAAATCAACTATGGTTTGCGAAATATTGGTTCCGAACGTCATGGTGACGGACAAGTTAACCGGTGGTGACAATATCAGGTAATTCGAGCATATTGTTCTTGTGAAACATAAGACCAACACATATGATGTATGGCATGTGAAATCTAGAATGGCGTTAATCACTAGAAATTCTAACTTGACGAATTATTCGCTCATATTGCCATTTCAACTCCCGGTTTAGGACAGCCAGATTGAGGCCGAACCCTACGCTGCTGAGGGTTCTAGCGATAACCATTCCAACCTGTATTGTGTCCCCAGGGCCAATGGCAACAGTTCATTCGACAGTACTTTGAAACCTGTGTTCAAGATCAGCTAATGCATGAGTTTGAGTTTCGAAATATGGCGAAAGAGAAGCACTTTGAGAGACGCTTGCTTTTCCACAAAATCGAGGAGGGTATGCTCAAGAAGGCGACCGCTGGCGATTGCATATTATAAAGAACCTGTTATAAAGCATCATGTAAATCCAAGAAGCAAAGAAAACATAGAGAATAGCACTGGTTGCTAACGGGACTCAGATCATATACTAGTCTCTGCCAGATGGCTGGACTTGACATCTGTGATGGTATCGGTAGAATTAACTTGAAGTAAAATTTTGATAGATGCCTCTATAGTTTCTGTTTTCTCTTTGTATTTCTTCGTGAGCCAAAGAGTTTGGATCCAAAGAATACTTACCTAGTAGTAACAGTTGCACGGCTTGAGCTATAGTAGTTTTGGTAGCGGACACTACCATGGGTCAAAGCACAAACGACAGCCACCCAGGTATTACCGGAAATATATGTCAGGACGACATTAGAAGGGGTCACAATATCAAGGGCTTTATAGACCATTAGCCTAGTATCCTGAGTTAAGCTGAACATACTAGTCACCATCGGAATCGCTCGCTTCGCATAGTCATTCTCACACATATATTCGAGAATCATGTAATCATTGTATAGGCTTGAGTTAATTTGATCTATCAATCCGATATTCTGACTAAATGGACGGTAAGTTCAGTGTTCGATAGGATATGTTGTGAGAATCTGGTGTTTTTGGGTACGGTTGCTATATCACGTAGCCGTATAGAGTTATAACATCGGCACTCGAACAATAGGTTTACCTCATAGACTCCCCTAAATTATTGCTTTCAGACATATCCGTCGCTACCAGGTCATACATGTTTTTGAAAGGTATGCAACGAGTATTATATCCATAGTAAACTTAAGCCAGCCTATGAACACATAAGCAGGTACTCGTATCTATACTGGCTACGCAATTCTATTGAGACGTGTTTGATAGGAGTTAGGTAGTAGTATCTATCTCAGTCGACCGAATTCTTACAGTTTCCAGAATAATTCTGAAAGGGGAAAGAAAAAGTCTCGACCCGATTGCAATTAACCGGCGGACGGAGAAATTCAGCAGTCTAGTAGTAGTAGTATTAGTAGTAGTTGTGAGTGCCGTAAACCGATAGAGTTCCCGTTCCAGATCACCGGTCAATGATTTCCGAGTACCTTTTGAGAAAGGAATTTATCCCGATCATCCTATTGCCGGAAAGTAAAATTTATGCATGATTATGATCACGAGGTGAGAAGAAAATGAAGGGGAAAAAAAGTTCTGCTAATTTAGGTAGTCTTGAAGTTTGACAAGCTGATTAAGTATTCAGTAAGACATTATGACGATTGGTTGTGACTGTCAAAGCTATATTAGCCCGTCCATAGTTAAGTGGTACGTCGGGGCCCATAACTCCGGAGTTGATATTCTGTAGTTCAACCGCCGACAGTTGCTCACACCCCACGCAGATTGTAGGCGATCGACAATGTCGTGGTAATAGCATTAATAATAATAGTCTAATTAGGACATACGTACTCCGTAATATCTGACAAAGGATGAGTAGTCTAGACAGGTCCTAGGCTAGTTAGTAAATACGGATAATTTCTTGGAAGGGGTA